GGGGGGGGGGGGGGGGGGCTTAACGCTCGGACCGTTGACAACGCGTTCCTCGAAGGGGCGGGGGCACAGGGGCTGGGTGGAAAACAATCGGACAGGGACACATACCGCGCGATAGGTCAACCGCAAGGAAGTGGTACACAAGTAGGATTGTGACATTTACAAGGGTAGAGGAGAAAATGAAGGCGTTTCAAGTGGCAAATACGGGGGTGCCGTTGGCGGCGGGTGGTACTTCGATCGTTACCTTGTTTGCCTGTTTGCTTCCGCACGGGAGGTCACAGGAAACATGCCATTGCCGCGAATGGTGTGGTGGTCTTAGGGGGGCGGGCATGATCACGAGGAAAAAACTCCCAGCGTGCTCGGCCTTCCGCCTCTGGTCTCTAGGGCAAGTTCTTCGCACACTCGAAAAGAGGTTGAAAACTGGGCGAGTGTGGTGAGATAAGAGCTTTGTTCGCCTATCCAATCGGCGCCCGCCAGAAGGCGAAAAAACACCGAAGAAAACACAAAAGGTGACCGAAGGGCTCTCCATACACGCCAACCAGGAGTCACCTGGTAAGCAAAGCAAAGCCGGAACCAGCCTGGCTCGACACAGTGGAACGCCCCGCCGGGGGTGAGGTTGACCTTGGTGCTCTCCAGCATCTGGCGCCACAGCCTTTCCTCCGCCTCCTGCGAGAAATGCAGGCCGATCATGGAGGAACTCGTAAGGGACCGACGAACGTGTAGGGGTGGGGAAACGACTGCCACACAAGCTTGTAATTCAGCCGCCGCCTGCACTATCGCTTGCGAGGCAGGCGAAGAAGCGCCCCTTCGAAGCAGCGCCCCTCAAAGAAAACGAACAATGCGTAAGGTGCATTGCGCACGCGCCCTGAGCCCTCCAGCCATCGGAAACGCGCCAGAAACTGTGAAACGAATAGGCCGGCTACACATCGCACTCGGACTTCGTAACACCACCTTGGAGCAATCTTCCAGGCATTCTCTGAGGTCCAGCATGACGAAGAGTCCCGCCTCCGCCTGCTGGTACATGATACCCTTTCTCCCCAGTTGGTTCACGAGGGACATGTAGGCCAGCCTTAGGCCCTCCTGTGACGCACGCACGAAGAGGGAAGAAGAGCACGCAGGGGCGAGAAAAAATTGCCTGTTGTGTACAAACTGCTTGGGATAAGCGCGACCACACGGGCGAGAAACATGTATGGTGTTCGTTGGAGGCGACTACTCTCGGCGGCAGGAGCACCTCAGGGTCAAGCGTCACCGCCAAGTTGTGCTCGTGTTTGCGATGAAGGACCTCGGTCAACGGCCAGAGCTTCTGTGCCCTCATGGCAGCTGTCGCAAACGGGGATATACAAAACACGTGCGCGCTTGGATGACGCGTATTTATCCTGGGGACCACACACGCTCACACCCAACGGCTTACGAGAGATCGACCGCGCTATCAAATTAATGTCGTCATCGGTCGGCAGATGGCCAGCGAGGCGAAGGAACGGCCTAATAGCGCTTGGGGACGGCGAGCCTAGTGCCAGGGCCGCAGGAATAGTCTATGTACGGTGACGAACATGGTTGGTGCTCTCCTAACCCGTCCCCCTAGCTTATCGCCTTCTTGGTGCTGCTTTGAGACAAGAGCCGTGGCGGAGAACGGCGCGTCGTTTGCTTCTATTGCGCCATACTACCGTAAGTGGCAAAAGAATATCACACACCCTGCAAGCTTGGCTACTCCACAGTAACAAAGGGTGATGGCGTCGAAAAAAAAGGGCGGCGTCGGAACTGGCTCGTCGAGAGTTTCTTAAACCGTATTGCTTGTTTTATGACTCTTTTTCGTCGGGACGTTGAAAAACTGGTGCACGTAGTGTATATCATACGTCACCTACGCTAGCTCTGATGTGCGTGAACAAAACTAGCTCTCCAGATAGCATGGTCACTTTTGCCGCAGCCTTGGCCGGCTTGCCTGGTGCTGTGTGAAGTAGTCGTCCAGGAAGCTTGGCTCTCGGAACAGGCGACCGACGACGTCCATCGTGTCCGAAGACGCTTGGGAGGCATGTGCCATCTTCGACACCATCGCAACCACCTTCTTGTTCTCGCTGTACAGCACGCCCACCTGTTGTTTGGTGCAAGTCGTCGGCGCCATGGATGTCGTCAGCAGCGACAGCACCAGCGGCACCAGCAAGAGCAGAAGCAACAAACAGTAGCGAACCATAAAATGATACAAAATCAGGAGCGGCTGCTGCACCGTCACAAACAGTATCAGCACCCCCACTCAGCAGCAGCAGCAGCAGCAGCAGCAGCAGCAGCAGCAGCAGCAGCAGCAGCAGCAGCAGCAGCAGCAGCAGCTACAAGCCCATTTTTCCTTCATCATTCTCGACAGATAATATCGCACGAAATCGTGCGGCACCAAACCAAAGTGCTACTAGGCCAGATAGGCTCAGCGTCCCAAAGCAACCAGACGACGTCTGCGAGGATAAACGTCGACGTGGGGGTATAACGAACATCCCCTGACTACTGAATCACTCCTATGCATACACCCACACGAAATAAGAATGCACTATACGCGCAACGAGAGAAAACGACAGCGAACGCACCACATCCAATGACAAGAGAACGAGCGCACGATTACATCAAGGAAAACAAGCACGTTCAAACCGAAGCACCCGGCCCCACAGCCCCGCGAGATAGATAGTTGTGCGAAATGACAGCATATTCGTCGTTCTGGCCTCACAGTTGACGTCATGGCAACGGCTATTTAGCCGGTAACCACGTTTGATGTCGGAAGACGGGAACCGTGAACATTTACAAAGAAACACACAACCGGTCGCCCCGGTGGTCTATAGGGTAACCTCGCAGCCTACTAAGAGTCAGGTCATGGGTTCGAGTCCCGGCAGAGTGAGTTTTTTTCTCTCTAAATAAATCCTGGTCTAGGATGAAAGCGACGCGCTGCAAAGCTCGTTGTTAGTAAAGCATAATCGACTTCGAAAGTCGCAAGGGAAGGGATTGCTGTACCCTTCTCGCGATAAAAATATCTTAGGCAGGAAACGCAGGAGGGGGTCCAGCCCCTCTCCTGTGTGACCCCGGGTGGGTCGTCTAGCTAGTAGAAGTGGAGGATAGGGGCCAGAGGGGCAGACGACAGAGTCCAATGATGGGAGAAAAAAAAAAAAGTGCAAGGCGTTTTCCTTTCTAGTCTGGCGAGACTGGCATTTTGTCAGTGACTGGGCCGGTCAACGCGGCCGACTCCATAAAATCACGCGCACTTGCATTTGGTATTTCGTTGAGGTAGAACCGATGCTATTTTGGTGTTTCACCAAGTAGCCCCAGTTGATGCAGAGACTAAAGACCAACACAAGAAAAACCACGCACACGCGCAGAATCCTGCATCACCAGAACCCACCCTCCAGCCGGCAACCCCGAGGTCCTTGGACAGCCCGTAGAGAACGTGCACGTCGCCGCCCATGCCCGCGGCTCCGTCAGCCATGAGAAGGCTCCCCACGCTCCGGAACGACGCGTTTGGCCTATGGATGCAGTTGGCGTACACCTGGTGGGAAAACAAAAGCACCGAGACGGAAGACAGCGGACGACGGGGGGGGGGAGAGGCGGCCATCGAAATGCTGCGCGCGACGTGGCCGCGGTGTTTTCCAACAACGCCCTGGTGAGAGGCGGACTCTAAGTAGCTTCATCTGAGCTTTTACCTCAAGACGGCATCCAGGGGCAGCAACAACGACATCAACACCAACACCGCCACAAAGGCGACAGGTTGAACACCGCCAAAAGGCGACTGGTTGACGGGTCTCAGTCATTACCACCCAACAAAGGGAAGCCATCTCACCTCGTCGACAACGATTTGCAGGCCTCGCCGGCGCCCCCACGAGACCGCCGAAAGCAGGGCCTTAGGCGAGTACATTCGCCCGGTGGGGTTGTGCGGTGACGTGATGAGAAGCACTCGAATCTCTACACCTGACGATCTCGCGCGGCTGATGGTGATCGTGAGCAGCAGCAGCAGCGGCGGCGGCAGAGGAAAGGGACACTTCTTAGGCACACGTCCACCCGAGTAGAACGGCAGAACACTCCGCAGCAGAGGACTGCCGATCGGGGCATCATGACTTGGGAACCACCTGGTGCCTGAAGGATCGGTAGGCGGTTGCAATTTACAGCTGAGCCTCCAGCAACAGGGCATGACTCCATGCGCACAGAGAGCGGGGAGGGCAAGGCTACATACAGTACGGCCAAGGACTTGAGGCATACGCTTTCCTCTGACTCGCTATCCGGGCGAGTTGGCCGGCGCAATCTTCGAGAAGCGCAAAAATACACCCGCACAAAAGACACGGCAATGAGTGCAACTCATGCCAGGGGTGTGAGGGAGCGGCAAGGTGCTTGGTAGACAGAAACAGGCATAGCATTCAGCATTCAGCATTCAGTGCCGGCAGCGGCAGGTGCGTCAGGATGGGGGCGAACGTGTGTCCACCGAAAAAATGTCGCGAAACCAAGGAAGCAGCTGTTTAGCGCCAAAGAACACAGGCGATGGGGACGGCACACCTTACAGAAAAACCCACCACTTTGGTGTGTGAAAACAAATACATCGGCAGGGACACGGAAAATCGTTTGAAGCCTGCAGAAAACCAACACGACTACCGTTACCACTAACACCACGCTCGATCGTGTCAAACGCGTCTGGAGTCTCACCGAAGGGCTGTCTCCAGCACGCGGGGGGATATTCCATCGTCTACCCCACCCTCCACACCCCCTCCCCCTTCGGCCGGATCCCTGTTCGCTACCCACGCCCTCACGCCCGCGATGTTGAGCACCTTGTCGAAGCCAGGGAAGTACGGCCCGGGGATAAGACAGCCCTCGCCCTCCTCGGTGAGGGCCACCACGACCAACCTGTGTCAAAAAAAAGGATTTCGTTTGGCAAAACACAAACGATGCACGCGTTGGCACACGCAATCAGCAGCAGTAGTTCACGCAACAAGGCCAGTGCATGGGGGGGTGCATATCTTGCACCAGGAAACACACGAAGGGGGTTAGTCAACACTGGAGGGTCGGTGACACTGACACGAAATCAACTCGTGCTCAGCCCTAATTTCCCCAAAATTCCATTTGTTCTGCGTTGCCACCCCCCCGACGTCCA